AAATCATTGACTAAAAGTGACTTATTATTGAGTGATCTGATGTTTAAAAGCGCTAACTTAACAGTTTTAGCTGTTTTTTCTATAGTAGTCTCAGATCTACATTTAATAGACACCAGATTTGAATGATTTGCTTTACGGCCTGGTGAAGTCTTTGGTTTTCTGTCACTTAACACAACACATATCTGCTTAGAGAAAGCTACAGACACACTGGGTTCCTGCTTGTTCTGAAAACATTTGATAAACATTTGATATTCAGGAGTATATACACCACCTAATTGTGATGTACAAACGATGAACTTACAGCAGACAGTGGAGAGTCTGAGTGGGGCTTCTGTGAAAGATCTTCACAGGAACGTTTTCTTCTCTTTGCTTCCCCGGCTCCTAAATGAGCAGTTGTGATTATCAGAACACAGTGTCTTAGTGTGACGACTTTTATTTATTAATGCACACAGTTGAAGCCAGAATTATAAGCCCCCCTTGTAAATTTGAGTTCATTTTTCACAATTTATGTGTAATGGAGAGAGGACTTGTTCAGGCACATTTCTAAACATAATAGTTCTAATAACTAATTTCTTATAATGTCACACTTTACAATAAGGTTTCATTAGATAATGTATTTACTAACATGAACTAATTATGAACAATGCTTGTACAACATTTTTAATCATAGTTCAACATCTACTAATGCTTTATTAAAATAATATTTAATGCTTAGTTGATGGACTGTGAGTTGGCATGGATGACTGTAACACGAACAAATACTGTATTAAGTGTATTGTTCATTGCTTGTTTATGGTAGTAAATGCTTTGACATTAACTAATACAAACTTATTGTAAAGTGTCACCCTTTAAGGTAACACTTTAGAGTAATAGTCCATTAGTTAATATTAGTTAATGCATTTACTGACATGACTTAGAAGTCTAATACATTAATTACAGTATTCATTCATCTTTGTTAACGATTTAATGTTTAAGTTAAATAACGTTAGTTCATTAATGCACTGTGCATGAAATAATGTCAACAAGCACAACTTTGGATTTTAATAATGCATTAATGTTGAACTGTAATTAATAAAGGCGGCACAAGATTGGTGACACTTAGTGTTAGTAAATTGATTAACTAAAGGACTATTATACTGAAGTGCTACCTTATTCAGATTGAGAAAGTAAAGGCTTAACTAGCTTAACACTGTTTGTTCTGTAGCCAATAGAAAAACATAAATAATAAAACAAATAAAACTTTCTTCAGAAGATAATATACTATCGTAAGTACTGTGAAAATGTCCTTGCTCCATTACCTTGAATAAATATTTCACAGGAGCGCCCTCAACTGTACTTCATGCTGCAACAGTATGAATAAATGTTAAATGTTTATGCTATGGTACATAAACAATTAAAGACAACAATAAAGGGTTATACACACTGCAAATTTTAGATTGTAGATTTAACTACCTTAGAGTTCAAATTAACACTCCCTCAGTGTTTATATGGGAACCACTATAAAAAGTGTTAAAATAACACTTTTGAAAGTGTTAAAAAAAATTACCACTCAGAGAGTGTTAATTAGCAAACTCTTATTGTGTAAAATATATGAAAAATGTATATCAAAATACTGGCAGCAGTAGCCAAAACCAAAGATGAAATCAACTGAGAATAAAACTTTAAATAAAATAATAATGAATAAAAAAAATAAACAAATTACACAATAAAATTTATTTATATTTTCAACATCTTTAAAACAACTCATCACATTAAACAACTCATCATGGAGCTTCACTTATTACTGAGCTTTGGCTTTAAATCTGTCATGTGAACAAAAGCTCTTTATGAAATTTCTGTTGTTCATTTGAAGTCACCATGATGGAGGACAGAGTCTGCTTTAGTCAGCCTCTTCAACTTCTTGCTATAAAATGGGTTTTTTTTTTTTTATTTGGATGCTATAATTATTAGTGCTAATCACACTATTCTTACATGTAGCATGAAAATTCAAAAGAAAATGTAAGAGTCAGTCTGAAGAGATTAACTATGATATCAAAGCCATCTTCTCCTGCTTGTTTTCTAATTCAGTGTCACATTAGTTATGTGTGTGAAATAAATAAAATACATAAATGAAACCACTGAAGCTTTAACAATTAATGACTTTAAAAGCATGATTTACAATGTGAATGTTTGATCTATGGCAGCACTTAAAAACACACAGACATCAACAATTAGTCTTTGAATCTCAATAATGGTGACAAACAAAAAAAATAAAAATCAATTAAAAAAACTACTGAAATATTACCTCCCAAACACAACACAAAATAAATAAAAAGAAAGAGATTGTAACAACATAAAGCTGCATAATTTATTTATGATGCAATGCATGCTGGGAGCTTTGTACTATGCTGGCACATAGCATGAAATATGCAGCTTTTTTCTTTTTAGCAACCATGGTTGAGGTTCATATCCTGATTCTTGATGTCTGTGTGTCATAAAGATCTGCTGGAGCTTTAGTGTATGACACTTTATTTAACTCTAGAATTTTAACACTTCACTCTGAATTACCACAACACTTAAAAATTGAACACCAATGAATTTGCTGTGCACCTTGTGCTTCAAAAGCATTGAGGGTTTTTCACAAGTAGCGCATCATCTGCGCATCCACCGTCACCTCTAGAACCCGATGAGCTGGAGCTGGCCGCCACTGCAGGAAAAGGCCTGTCCTTTGGGGGTTTCTGTGAGTTACAAGTTGTAGTTTGCATGAAATGTTGCCAGCATGATATATATTTTTAATAAAGTAGTTTAAAAAATAAAATAAAGCCTATATCTTTGCTGAGAATGTACTGCTGGAACCGCTTCAGTGTCACGAAAAATCTCGAGAAATGAAAAAACATCGAAAAATAACAAAAAATGAAATCTTGAAAGATCAAGAAAAATCATGAAAAATGATAAAATCTTGAAAAAACACAAAAAATCACGAAAAATAAAAAATAATAAACAATTCAAAAAAATTAAATTTTTGAAAATTCACAAAAAATTAAATTTTTTTGAACAATCACAAAAAATTTTATTTTTTTTTTAAAAATAACAAAAAATCGATTTTTTTTGAAAAATCGCAAAAAATCACAAAAAAGAAAATTTTTTGAAAAATCGTAAAAAATGAAAATTTTTTGAAAAATCGCAAAAAATGAATTTTTTTTACAAAATCGCAAAAAATCACAAAAAATGAAGTTACAAAAATCACTAAAAATCACAAAAGAAAATTTTTTTGAAAAATCGCAAAAAATCACAAAAAATGAAACTTTTTTGAAAAAATCGCAAAATATGAAAATTTTTTACAAAATCGCAAAAAATCACAAAAAAAGATTTTTTTTGAAAAATCACTAAAAATCACAAAAGAAAATTTTTTGAAAAATCGCAAAAAATCACTAAATATAAATTTTTGGAAAAATGACTAAAAATCACAAAAGTAAATTTTTTGAAAAATCGCAAAAAATCACAAAATATGAATTTTTTGAAAAATCACTAAAAATCACAAAAGAAAATTTTTTGAAAAATCACAAAAAATGAAAATTTGAAAAATCGCAAAACATGAAAATTTTTTGAAAAATTGCAAAACATGAAATTTTTTTGAAAAATCGCATAATATATAATTTTTTTGAAAAATCGCAAAATATAAAATTTTTTGAAAAATCGCAAAACATGAACATTTTTTGAAAAATCGCAAAAAATGGAAATTTTTTGAAAAATCACAAAATATGAAAATTTTTTGAAAAATCACAAAAAATGAAAATTTTTTGAAAAATCGCAAAATATGAAATTTTTTTGAAAAATCGCAAAACATGAAATTTTTTTGAAAATCGCAAAATCACAAAAAATGAAAAATTTTTGAAAAATTGCAAAATATGAAAATATTTTTAAAAATCACAAAAAATGAAAAATTTTTGAAAAATCGCAAAATATAAAAATTTTTTGAAAAATCACAAAAACTGAAAAATTTTAGCAAAATCGCGAAATATGAACAACTTTTGAAAAATCGCAAAAAATGAAAAATTTTTGAAAAATCGCAAAAAATTAACATTTTTTGAAAAATCACAAAAAATTAAAATTTTTTGAAAAATCACAAAAAATGAAAATTTTTTGAAAAATCGCAAAATATAAAAATTTTTTGAAAAATCACAAAAACTGAAAAATTTTTGCAAAATCGCGAAATATGAACAACTTTTGAAAAATCGCAAAAAAATGAAAATTTTTTGAAAAATCGCAAAATATGAAATTTTTTTGAAAAATCACAAAAAATGAACATTTTTTGAAAAATCACAAAATATAAAATTTTTTTGAAAAATCACAAAATCTGAATAATTTTTGAAAAATCGCAAAATATGAAAAATTTTTGAAAAATCGCAAAAAAATGAAAATTTTTTGAAAAATCGCAAAATATGAAAATTTTTGGAAAATTCGCAAAAAATGAAAATTTTTGGAAAAATCACAAAAAATGAAATTTTTTGAAAAATCACAAAAAATGAAAATTTTTTGAAAAATCGCAAAAAATCACAAAAAATGAAAATTTTTTGAAAAATCGTCAAATATGAAAATCACAAAAAATCAAGAAAAATTAATTTTTTAAAAAAATAACGAAAAATCACGAAAAATGAAATTTTTTTGAAAAATCATAAAAAAATGAAAAAATCATGAAAAATCATAAAAGATGAAAAAATCTTGAAAAATCATGAAAAAATCTTGAAAAATCACCAAAAATCATGAAAAATTCACCAAAAATCATGAAAAATTATCTGTACAAACAGTAAAAAATACAGATAGTGCAAAAACAATGACAGTGCAAATACAACGACAGTACAAATAACAGACAAATAAAATGACAATGTGAAATTGACAGCGATATGTACAATGAATAGGTGTCCACATAGTTGTAGGCAGTGTTGTTTCAAGTATGGATTGGCTTAAGGTCAGTGCATGCTACATATCGATGGTGTGCAGTGAGGGTATGGAACAGCCTGTGTGTTAAGTGTTCATCAGCCTGATAGTCTGAGGGAAGAAACTTTCCTTTAGCCGGCTGGTGCGTAACCAGATGCTGCGGAACCATCTGCCTGAGGGTAGCAGACGGTTTTGTCTGTATAATTGTACATGTTAAACTAATTTAAATTAGAAGTCCACTAAATGTTCATTAACTAAAGTCACAGCAAAAGGTGCTACAATTAAAGTAGAAATGCCAAAGTTCCACTGCTTTTTCTGTGACAGCTGTAGGGCTCGTCGGGGGATTGAACCCAGGACCTCTCGCATCCTAAGCGAGAATCATACCCCTTGACAAACGAGCCCTGAAGAAAGACCCTGCTGTGCCAAAAAAAATTCTTACTTTTTTATAAATACTTTTTGTTCTTGTTGTTTTTAGTATGTGCCACCTGGGTTGTCTTTGATGCAGTCCCTTTTAAGTTGGCTGTGCAGCACAATCCACAATAGCGATCTGCTAAAAAGATTCAGAGTGAGCTTCTGTTTAGAATACAGTTAAAAGCATCAGTCTGCAATATTAGAAAACCAGTAAAACAACTCAGGTGGACCTATAGAAAGCCAGGTAAGCCATTTTGAACAATGCCATAATGAAAAGATTTATTTATTTACATTAATCCATGCATCTCTTTATTTAGGCTATTTGCTTTATACGAGCTTACATGTCCTACAAATTTATTAATAGGACATACCCTATTAATAAACCGCCATGTTGTGAAACCGAAAGCAAAGCATCCAGTAAAAATTCATGTCTGGGGAGCCATATTCCATCAGGGACCTGGACCGCTAGTTGTGTTAGAAGGTTAGTTCAAATCTCTTTAATATGATTGAATCGTTTCTTTGCAGTTTCTTTATTTATATATATATATATATATTTTTTTTTCTATTTTCAGGAATTATGGACAGATGTTTTTACGAAGACACTATAATAAAATTCAATCAGGCTCCATACGTAAAACAACACTTTAAGAACCATATCACTTCTTCCAAGGTAGATACAGTATGTAGGCCTACTGTACCAACTGAGTGTGTGTGTGTATACATGTTCACTGATGTGTGTGTGTGTGTGTATACATGTTCACTGATGTGTGTGTGCACACGTTCACTGCTGTGTGTGTGTGTGCGCGCACACGTTCACTGCTGTGTGTGTTGAACTTTTTTATCAATCTTGATGATTATTGAATATTTAATAAAGTTAACACATTGCTTAAAGGGCACATAGTTTACCCCTTTTTTAATGATTTAACATTATTATTATGGTTCTTCTGAGTGTGCCAGTCTAGGTTCAGTTCAAAACACAATCCAGATTTTTTTATTATAATGTGTTATAATGTGTCATTTTAAGGGCGTGTACACAGCTCGCTGTTTTACATTTACATTTAGTCATTTAGCAGACGCTTTTATCCAAAGCGACTAACAAATGAGGACAAGGAAGCAATTATCACAACTATAAGAGCAACAATAAATAAGTGCTGTAGGCAAGTTTCAGGGCTGTAAAGTCTAAGAAGGAAAGCATTAGTAATGTAAGAATTTTTTTTTTTTTTTTTTTTGAGTACAGTTAGTGGTATAGCTAGAGGCAATTGCAGATTAGGAAGTGAAGAGAAGACTAAATAGTTGAGTTTTAAGTTGTTTCTTGAAGACAGCAAGTGACTCGTTCTGTTGCAGTTAGGGAGTTCATTCCACCAACTGGGCAGATTGAATGCGAGAGTTCGGGAAAGTGATTACTTCCCTCTTTGGGATGGAACCACGAGGCGACGTTTATTCACAGAACGCAAGTTTCTTGAGGGCATATAAATCTGCAGAAGTGAGAGCAGATAAGAGGGAGCAAAGCCAGAGGTTGCTTTGTAGGCAAACATCAGAGCTTTGAATTTGATGCGAGCAGCAACTGGCAGCCAGTGCAAACGGGTGAGTAGCGGAGTGACATGTGCTCTTTTCAATTCATTAAAGACCACTCATGCTGCTACGTTCTGGAGTAGCTGAAGGGACTTGAAGGAAGGAAGACAGTTGTCTTTATTTGAATGGTTTCGTGAGGATGTGATGGTGTGCTTTATCTGGCTGATTCCTGCTGAAGTGGGCGGGTTGTGTGATGTTTGATTCGGGGGATGTTATGGGGCGGGGTTTGCGTGACGTGCTGCGAGCTACTAGCCCGACAGTGGAAACGCAACATGATTTCGGCCTCACTGCTTAACCTCCTGGGCAATTGCCCCGGCTCATCCTGGCTCGCACTGGCCTCAGCTCACAGCCTAGAAGTCCAATGAACTATCCATTGCACCACAGAGCTCCTGCCTCTAGCACTGTTGCACAGAAAGCAATTTTTGGTACTCTCTGGCCCATAAAAGCACAGCTCACTGCAGATAAAGTACTGCTGGGATTCATACATAGGATCTTCTGTTTACTAGACAGGTGTTTTGACCAACTAAGCCACAAAACCAGACAGGGGGTATCTGTTTAATCGAAAAAAGAAACGGTAAAAACGGTAGCACTGCATGTTTGAATGTCTAGACTTAAAAATTTTAAAGTCCAATTGGTTACGCATCACCATACCATGCTATATAATGCCATCGTCCAAAACCCTCTTAATAGTACAATATTAAAATTGTTTTATTATTTAATATATAATCAAGGTTTCCCTTCTTAAACCAATTAACTTCTCTCTATAAAGCTTCAAAAATTGCAACAAATGAACACTCCAATGAAACAATGTACAAATAAAAATGAAAATAAAACATTTACTTAAAACATTTCAAATTTTCCCAAAAGTCCAGTACAGGTGATGAACACTCAAAAAGATTCTTTTGCAAAACAACTAGGTTGCAAATTCAGTTCCAGAGATCCAGGATGTTGCACTTGTGAGTTTGTTGTAAATTTACACTCTTACCATGACGCTGAATAGGTTTCACTTTGTATCTTTCCAACAGGTGTATCCAAAAAATCCACTTAATGGGAGGCTCGACAGTCCAACTCCACAATTAGACACGCACCGATGGAAGTTGAGACAATCCAAATCCAGAAAAGAGTTCACACTTCAATTAATTTGAATGCAGAGCAGATCACATTCAGCAACTGACTTCAATAGAACATCTCACCGATGAAAAACCAGAAGAAGATGCACAAGCAAACAAACAAAGGGGAGAAAAAAACCATTAGCATTTTACAGTGTATGCATTATCTCAGCTTAACACATTTGTAAATAAACAGCAACAATAAATGACCATGTATATGCTTCTCTCTGCTGAATTTCTGTGTTTTTCCTACTTCTTTCTCCTATTTGGCATTTTCTTTTTACAAATGACAGCATTTTACTTAAACTCTCTCACTTAAACTTTACACAATCACTTGTATAATACTGTGTATAATACTGTGTTTTTACTAGACCAAACAAATGGTTAATTAATGAAACACATTTTTGACACTAGTTTTAATCATGTTATAATGAAAACAATAAAAAAAAAAAAACACGAACTCACCAAGGAAATCATTCAAAATCAAAGCGAAAAGCCAGGAAAACTCCAGGGGGCACTCGTGTGCAGATTTCACTCACAGATACAAATCTTGTTTTTTTCTCTCAATCCTTCATTAAAGATATATGATAGAAATCATTTCAGCATCTTATTAATGGTCAGTTTTTACAGTTAATACACATTTAAAACATTAAAATATATATTTACATTTACATTTAGTCATTTAGCAGACGCTTTTATCCAAAGCGACTTACAAATGAGGACAAGGAAGCAACTTACACAACTAAGAGCAACAATGAATAAGTGCTGTAGGCAAGTTTCAGGTCTGTAAAGTCTAAGAAGGGAAGTATTAGTAGTATTAGTATTAGTATTTTTTTTTTTTTGTGGGTACAGTTAGTGTGATATTCAGAGAGGCAATTGCAGATTAGGAAGTGAAGTGGAGACTAAATAGTTGAGTTTTTAGTCGTTTCCTGAAAGTAGCGAGTGACTCTGCTGTTCTTATGCAGTTAGGGAGTTCATTCCACCAACTGGGCAGATTGAGCGTGAGCATTCGCGAAAGTGATTTCTTCCCTCTTTGGGATGGAACCACGAGGCGGCGTTCGTTCACAGAACGCAAGTTTCTGGAGGGCACATAGATCTGCAGAAGTGAGAGCAGATAAGAAGGAGCAAGGCCAGAAGTCACTTTGTAGGCAAACATCAGAGCTTTGAATTTGATGTGAGCAGCAACTGGCAGCCAGTGCAAACGGACTAGCAGCGGAGTGACATGTGCTCATTTCGGTTCATTGAAGACCACTCGTCTGCTGCATTCTGGAGCAGTTGAAGAGGCTTGATAGAGTTAGCTGGAAGCCCAGCTAGTAGAGAGTTGCAGTAATCCAGTTTGGAGAGAACAAGAGCTTGAACAAGGAGTTGAGCTGCATGTTCAGAAAAGAAGGGTCGGATCTTTCTGATGTTATAGAGTGCGAATCTGCACGATCGAGCAGTTCTAGAAATGTGTTCAGAGAAGTTTAGTTGGTCATCAATCGTTACTCCAAGGCTTTTCACCATTTTGGATGCAGTAATGGTTGCCCCGTCCATCTGGATTGAAAAATTATGGTGTAGAGTCGGGTTAGCAGAAACTACAAGAATTTCCGTTTTTGCGAGGTTCAGCTGAAGATGATGATCTTTCATCCAGTGTGAAATATCCAACAGGCAGGCTGAGATGCGAGCTGGAACCGAGGGATCATCAGGATGAAAAGAGAGGTATAGCTGGGTATCATCAGCATAGCAGTGGTAGGAGAATCCATTTCTCTGGATGACTGGTCCTAGAGATGATGTGTAGATGGAGAAGAGAAGTGGCCCAAGAACAGAGCCTTGAGGCCTTGATATATATCTAATAGTTTTCTACTGTTATTAATTTAAAAACTTACATCTCTGCATTCCCTTGCGAACACTGAATCACCATAGCAACGGTAAACACAAGCTAACAGACGAGAGAGAGATTTGTTATTGTTTGTAAATCTGATCTGCTATAGTGTAAGGCACGATGATGTTATTCTAAAGCACTATTCCCTTGAATGCTGTTTAATACTCGATTATGAATTATTTAAATAAATAAATAATTTTAATATATATTATTTAATCGAGTACTCTGCCAATGTTTTTTTTTCATATTTATAAGGGTGTTTCTATTTGCTCTATTGCTGTGTACTACCCACTAGTAACCTGGGTTACAACTGACTATATATAAATCAGTTGACATTATTAAGGCATTTATTGGGTACAATTGCTACTTTTTTACTGTCATTCATTGTGTTTTGGTCATTATCAATGCACTGTCACTTTAATTGAGCGTGAGCAGCGCGTCAAAAATAGACCCGGCGCCAAAACTATCGCTGCACTGCTGCTTCAGCGACGCTCACGCCTCGCTCTGACGCGCTGCTGTTGCGTGCAGTATGAAAGCTCTAATCTGTTAACATGGACGCCGAAAAAACACGCGCTGCTGGCGCTTGCGGTTTGAAACAGCCGTTAGTCTTAACACTAAAAGAAAAAAACTGTGGATACGATACTTCCAAACGCAGTTTCATCTAAGACAGTGGGGGGAAGCAAAATTTACTATGCTTTCAACTCAGTTACTTTACACATGCATAAAGAGGCTCTTGTATGACAAATCCAAAAGGTGTGATCTTAACAATAGGTGGCGGTCACTTTTGCCCTAAACCACAGGTTGCCTTCGAGTCATTACTTAAGTCCACTCGGCCTTGCACCGTTTTATAATCTTCCTTATTTAAAACAGCTCAATTAAGTCATCGGCTTCATTGTAGTGTACCCCTAGTATCTGAGCCTGCACTGCGCAATGAAAGAAAGAAGCAAAACGGGATGGACAGATGCCTGAAATGTTAGAAACCCACCACACCTTAAGTCAGTGAAGAAAAGGGGCAAAGCTTGACACTCTTGTGGGACTCGAACCTACAACCTTTGAATGGCTCACCTCACAGCCTAGAGGTCCAATAAGCTATCCATTGCACCACAGAAACTGCACCAAAAAGCACTTTTTGGGACTCTCTGGCCCATGAAAGAACAGCCAACTGCAGACAAAGTACTGCTGGGAGTTGAACTCAGGATCTGCTGTTTACTAGACAGGCGCTTTGACCAACTAAGCCACAGGGTCAAACGATGTTGACAAGGGCTAATTGTTTAATCGAAAAAAGAAAAAAAAAAACTAACAATGGCAGCGCTGCATGTGTGAATGTCTGGACTTGAAATATTAAAGTCCAATTGGTTAGGCATTACCACATTATGCTATATAAAGCCATCGTCCAAAGTCCTCTTAAACGTGTAGCGTTCTTAAGGATTTGAGTTTTGTTTAGAAACCGACTGCTAAACATCCCGCTGCGTAAACACTCGTAACTCTTAAGAAAAAGCAACGCTGGCACATGTACAATAGGCACTGCTGGGACTTGAACCCAGGATCTCCTGTTTACGAGACAGGCGCTTTGACCAACTAAGCCACAGCACTAAAGCTGAAATGAAGGCAAGACGGTTTTGCACACAGAGACTAAAAAAAGACAGCAAGTCTAAAATGGCAATCAAAGAGGTTGTTTAAGTCTATTTGTCGCACTATTCATTAGGCCTCAAAGCTATACAATTTTATTATGCATTCCGGTCAGCTCTATAAAACTAGCGCATTCACCACCTGGATCAATTTAGCCCAGGATCTCCTGTTTACAAGAGAGGCGCTTCGACCAGCTAAGCCACAGCACCACAATGAATGACCGTAAGAGACATTTGCCCGATAACAAAAAACGAAGAAGAACAAACCAATACACAACAAAAACCAGCATGTCAGGATGCAGAAAATGCCGACAAGATGGACGTGGTCTTTTAGAGTCCGGATGATTATGTCTCAAACCTGACCAGTAACCTGGCCTCTGTTCAAGATCAAAGCAAAAAATGCATTGATTTATTTTTATTTAATCTACCCTTAATCATGTGTCAAGTGTTTTTTGGAATCTCCAGTTTCATTACATCCAAACCCAGATTCAGCTTGGAAAATGGAAATCTGAGGGAAAGGTGCAATTTGGATTTGAATCTAGCACCTGCTGTTCCCAAGACAGGTGCTCTGGCCAACTTAGTCTTAACACTAAAAGAAGAAAACCTCTGGACACGATACTTCCAAACGCAGTTTCATCTAAGACAGTGGGGGAAAAGCAAAATTTACTATGCTTTCTACTTAGTTACTTTGCACATGCATAAAGAGGCTCTTGTACGACTATTCCAAAAGGCGTGATCTCAACAATAGGTGGTAGACACTTTTGCCCAAAACCACAGGTTGCCTTTGAGTCATTCCTTAAGCTTACTTGGCCCTACACCGTTTTCTAATCTCCCTTATTTAAAACAGCTCAATTAAGTCATCGGCTTCATTGTAGAGTACCCCTAGTATCTGAGCCTGCACTGCGCAATGAAATTAAAAAGCAGAACAGGATGGACAGATGCCAAAAATGTTGGAAACGCACCACTCCTAAGTCAGTGAAGAAAAAGGGCAAAGCTTGCAACGCTGGTGGGACTTGAACTCAAAACCTTTAAATGACTCAGTTCACAGCCAAGAAGTCCAATGCGCTATCCATTATCTTAGATTAAATGATTTCCATTTTTCGAGCTGACAGAGGGTTTGGATGTAATGAAACTGGATATTCCAAAAAACACTTAACACATGATTAAGGGTAGATTAAATAAAAATAAAATAATGCATTTTTTGCTTTGATCTTGAACAGAGGCCAGGTTACCGGTCAGGTTTGAGACATGATCATCCAGACTCTAAAAGACCACGTCCGTCTTGTCAGCATTTTCTGCATCCTGACATGCTGGTTTTTGTTGTGTATTTATTTCTTCTTCGATTTTTGTTATCGGGCAAATGTCTCTTACAATTAATTTTTGTGGCGCTGTGGCTTAGCTGGTCAAAATGCCTTGTAAACAGGAGATCCTGGGCTCAAATCCCAGCAGCGCCTTAGTTCAGGTGGTGCGTGTGCTTTTTTTATACAGATTAACGAAATTAATTATAAAACTGTATAGCTTTGAGGCATAATGGATAGTGCGACAAAATGAGTTACATTTGAGAGCTCATCTGATTCACAACTAGTTGACTGCACACCCATGTTTTTAAGTTGTTTATCTCCCCCTCCATATTCTCCATTCCTCAAACCTATTAAGGATTTTTTTCCTGCCTAGAGATGAAAAGTGTATGACCGAAATCCAAACACATGTATACCCCTTCTCCAAGCTATAGCAGTTGATGCTTTTCGTGGCTGGATTTGCCATGCAAGGTGACATTTGCCCCACTGCTTGGCCACACCAATACAGAAAAGAGAAGGCAGTATAGCTGTTTTTTTATTTATTTATTTTTTTACTGTAACTGTATTTAGTAAATACTTCTGTTGATGGTATATGTAGACCACATTTTCTGCAACTTTGTGTTGGTTGGGATGAACACTGTGTACGCTGTTTTTGTGAGGAAAATACAGTAAAATATATTTGGTATTTGTTTGTTTTGTATTAAAACAATTTTCGAAAAATTTTACAATGGACTTCTGTAGGTCTATGTACTGTCTGTAGTAAGTGTAACACTGAACAGAAGAAGGCTTACAGAAAGTCATTATGATGAATAGAGAAGAAGTGGTCATAGTGTTTTACATTAAGCACATTAGTGTTCAACTGATCTTATGAATATCTACTAATGTGATGGCTTGTGTGTGTTATTTGAAAACAAAATACCTTTTTGAGAAGAAATCACATTGTTTTGAACTTATAGTTTCATTTTGCAGAAGAATTGAAGAGTTTTGCCCAATGTGTGTGTGTTTTGTGATTTGTGTGTAGAGTTCTGACAATATGAGACATGCTTTCAGAAAATGTGTGTAAACAACTGGAAAAAACTGTAAACAACCTCTTTGGTTGTCATTTTAAGACCTCCAGGAACAAGTTTGGTGACCCCTGGCTTAAAAGCATAGTTCTCTCAGACAGCAACTTTACAGGGCAACACTATATGCTGAATGGCTCAACCGAAATTTTAACCTGTTATTTCTCACGGAATGAACGAGAATCATACTCCTAGACAAGCAAGCCACTATGCAAAGTAATGTTTTGTGGCGACACTTTATGCTGGCAAACTGGAATTCTTCGAAAGACATTTTTATGAAAGACATAATGTGCTGTAAAACGCAGGACACCTGCAAGGTCTCATCGGGTATTTGAACCTGGGACCTCTCACACCAGAAGCGAGAATCACACCCCTAGACCAATGAGCCACTAAAGTGATAGGATTTCACATGGCGTCAGAAGCATCAAATAGTCAGAAATCTTTCTCTAAAGGGAATCAAGGGCACCCTAAGCGAGAATCATACCCCTAGACCAACAAACCACAAAAGCTTGAATATTTCACAAGACTTCAGAAGCAACAGATGGTCAGAAATCCTTATCTAACAAACATTGAAGCAGGGCTTTTGCTTCATTTGGACCCAGGACTTCTACAATGGTTCGTCCAGGATTTGAAAACGGGACCTCTCGCACCTTATGCGAGAATCAAGCCCGTAGACCAACAAGCTACTGCAAAACAGCCACTTTACATGGCAATACTATCTGCTGACAAACTGGAATTCTTCAAAAGACATTTTTACGAAAGACATAATGAATTTCACAAGGTGTCAGATAGTCAGAAATCTTTCGCTAACGAATCAAGGGCACCCTAAGTGAGAATCATACCCCTAGACCACCGAGCCACTACAAAACAGCAAATTTATATGGCAACACTATCTGCTGACAAACTGGCATTCTCAGAAAAAAGGCCTCTGTGTAAGCCACAACGACCTTACAAAACAGCAGACAAGTGTAAGGGCTCAACCGAAATTTGAATGTGGGATTTTTCATTGCATGAACGAAAATCATACTCCTAGACCAGCAAGCCA